CGGCAATTCAGTGGTTTGAATCCCTAGTGCCGTGTAGCTGGGTGAGCTCCCGTTACTTGTCCCAGCTTCTGCCAACCTAGCAGTTCGAAAGCACATAAAAAATGCAAGTAGAAAAATAGGGACCACCTTTGGTGGGAAGGTAACAGCATTCCGTGCGCCTTTGGCATTTAGTCATGCCGGCCACATGACCATGGAGACATCTTCGGACAACGGTGGCTCTTTGGGAACGACTAGCACATATGTGCGAGGGGAACCTTTACCTTTAATATAAGAACCCCCAAGCTTTCCTTCTGTAATTTGGTAGTATTCTTATGGTTTATTTCAAATCACCTAAAAATTAAAAAATACATCCTCCACAGAATGTTACAGATCAAAATAAAAAGAGAACAAATTTATCTTTTTTCCACTCTCTGAATTTATTTTTTGGGAATGAAATCAATATGTTCTTCAAAGGGCTATTTGCTTGTACTCTTTTACGTTCTTTCTGTTAGTCAAAAAGTACATGGGAATCTCTGCTATCATCTGTTGATGTTAGTTTTTAGCCAAATAAGCCTCTTTTGTTCCAAACTGAGATTTTTTTTTAAAAAAAAGACAAGTTTCAATTCATAAAGGGAAAAAATTAAATTTTAAGGTTAGTCTCATTTCATAAAGAGAGAAGGGAAGGACTAGCCAGAGATTAGCCCAAGTAAGCCCAAAATTAACAGTCCTGTTCACCATTCTCTCTATGTCTCCTTTCAAATACACCATTCTGTTTCGCCACTATTTTCTTTTCTATGAGAAGCCAACGTATTTTCTCTGCAGTTAAAGCACATTGCCAACAGTTGAGTAAGACCAACTGTAAACCCATGTTTTCTACCGCACAGTGCTCAGGATTGAAGGGGAGGAGGGGGCAGGTAAAATGAAGCTGCTGCCAGTCAAAGGAACAAGAGGCATTGGAGTCTTGCAGAAAGACTGCAACTGCATAATAAGGAAAATGACAGATATCTGTTGGCTCAGTAAAGAGCAGCTTGCACTATCCAAGTGATGACAGAATAATAGTTTGCTCCCACTGATATTTGACCTGGAACTGCAGCACTATGTAAGGGAAAGCCCTTGGCAAGAAAAATCAAAGGCCATCAGGAAAATGCATCAGTTTTACTCATGCAATAGCAAGAGTAAAATAAATCTGGCTTCCCCAGGATATTAAAGCTGGTTCTCCTTTATACCTTTTCTATTCCCTTTGGGGATTTTGTCTTTTTTAAAATCTTGTGTCATTTTCTTTATCGTTGTTTTTATCTGACATTTGGGAAACAGCAGATTTCCTAGAGAAAACAAGACTTTTTTAAAAAATAGGGTTTTATTAGAAACACAAAACAATGGTTAGCTCCCATAGGAATATTTCTAATTCTTTGACCTTAGTCATTTTAGTACCTCATAATAAGTGCAGAAACTGGAAAAATAGTTGGAATTGTAGTTGTAATAATGTTTGTTAATAATGACTCAATGGAATAGTTTTTCATTTACTTCTGAAACCCATTTTATAAGAGCAGTGTTCCAAGTTCCAAAGCACATATCTAATGCAATTCCGAGGTTAGAACATATCCAGTTGAGAGATCAAGGTTACAGAATGGACATTAATCTTTAATAACTGGCTTAAATGCCATTATTTTCCAGTTGACTGATTCCATATCTTTTGTCTAATATATTCCTTCCTACATTCATTCATTCAAACAAAACATTAAAAAAAAAACCAATCACATGATCCATGACTTGATTCTCCACCGAGTTTACACACATTAGGAGAATGTTCAATGAAAGAGTTTTAGACACTGAATTTCAGAACAAAAGGGACTCATCTCAAACTTTGCCCAAATTCAGTTTGACCATGCCAGATAGAAACCACCAACTACATTAACTCACTTGTTTCTCCAGTCCAACCCACATTCCTTTTCAGAGCCTGATATAAAAGAGTGTTCCTTTCACACTAGCCCCTTGGCCTTTCCTTTGCTTTTCCAGATGTTTGTACATCTGGATACCCAAGAACTGATTTTCCATATTATCTCCTTTGACACTAAGCAGACCTTCTCCTCTGTCTTTTTCCACCTATTGTTGCTCTGATGTTACAATAATCAAAGCAACAGAAAAACCGGCTGTTTTTCTGGTTCCTACCTTGTTTGAAGGTTCATGGAAACTTCATGGCTACAAGGAAGAAATGATTCATAGAAACCAAATAGCAATATTCCTAATTATTTAAAATAGAAGAAAAGAAAGGGAAGCTTTGCAGTATTGTGGGCAGATGGTAGGAAAGGTAGGTAGGTAGATAGGTAGGTAGATAGATAGATAGATAGATAGATAGATAGATAGATAGATAGATGATAGATAGATGATAGAATAACTTTATTGTCACTTTGAATGTACACTAATTAGCATATATTAAAATGAAATTTTGTTGCATATAGCTCTCAAAAGGTCACCACCTCCAATATACACTACATAAACATGACAAAATAAATAAATATATAAACACAAAATTTAAGAGGATCATGCTTTACCCAATGGACAGGTGAGGAACCAAAAGAGGTCAGTGGGGCATATAAGGGTTGAATCAAGCATCAGCTTGTAAAGTTGAGTTAATTGAATTAAGGACCCAATATTAAATCAACTGAGAAGAACATAGCAACTGTTATTCCAAGATGCCCAGAGTAGATACTGGGAAGGGGGAGGTGGGGGCATCCAAGATACTATAAACAATTAGAACTCAGATTACTATCAGAAGGGATTGAAGGACTGGTGACCATCAACTCTGAAGGTGTAGAGAGTACAGGAAATGAGCTATACGGGATAGGAGGAATAGCACAACCTGGGCAATGGTCAGATAAAAGAGGTTTGAGTCCAGGCTAAGAAAGCAACTTCCACAAACATCTAAGACAAGTCTTTCCCTAGTTCACAAGATAAAGGGAGGAAGAAGCACATTCAGACTTGAAAGTCATGTCTGTTACTTTAGCTGTTTCAGTAAAAGTCCTGACCCACATGGCATTGGTTTCCTCATCTGATTTACTTTGTTGGACTGACAGAAGGGCTTAAAGCAACTCAGATCAGAAAACAGTAGTTCTGTACTGAGGCTGGAAAACACAGGGGGATAGTATAATTTGTTTTTGAATTCAGGAAGTGTTGAGTGGCTAATTGCGGAAAATGCACATCTTCCCTGAAACTGTCAACACCCATGGGTAGATAATTGCTGGGATTGTTGTGGGTTGTGTTTCAACATGCATAAAAGGTAGGCATTTGGAATATGGCTGATGGTTGCAAAATGTGCCACAGGTGAAAGCATTTTCTATTTAGCGATTCTATTCTATTCCTCTTATCCTCCCCTTGCCTGCTACAGTTCATTTATACATTCAGCAATATTAGGCAGCATATCTATTTACAAATTATACCTCAAATCCTATTGCAAAGAGTTTTTAAAATGTTTGTTTGTTTTGTTATGTTTTTTCGCATCAAGGAGTAGTAAGAAACCATTTGTTTCCTGCTGTATGATTGAGATTCATGTAGTGGTTAAGGATTCAGGCTAAGAGAAACTAAGAGAGCATGTGTTTTAGTCCTGCCTTAGGCACAAAGCCATCTGAATGACCTTGAGCCAGTCACTCTTTTTCACTCCTCCTAGGAAGGAGGCAATGGCTTCTGAAAATCTTACAAAAGATTTACAAAAAAAAAATGCAGGGACTTGCCCAGGCAGTCCCCAGGAGTCAAAATGGATTCAAAGGCACAAAAAATAAAATAAAATAAATAAATAAAATAAAGGCAGAAAAAATAAAATAGCATGGTTCTGTTAAAAGGGTTTTTTTTTAATCTTTCAAAATACATCTACTGGCCCTTGAACTCAAATATCTCATCATTTTGTTATTTGGGAACCTTATAAAAAACTGGCCTCATCTATTTGCTTTTACCATTTGAAACCCTTTGCTTTCATAACACATTTTCACATTGGTAACACGGCAAATGTCTGACCTGAAGCTGAATATCACAACATCATAGGAAGCTATTCTAAAATCTTGAGTTGAATCACTCAATCTCCCTAACCCTGTCTCTCCCTGGTCACCCCTGGGGTTTTTTTTTTTTTTACCTTTTTTGTGTGCTATTTTGCCAGTTAACTCTTTTTGATGTTTGGTAATAATTAATACATGAACATTGAGTTATTTTTGTTAGTTGAACTGAATGGCGTGTGTGCTTCCTCTGATCTAGATATGGAGATTATGCTGGATCAAAGCAAACTGGAAATTACCCATAACACAGATTTCTCTAATCAGATGTCTTCCAAAGATATTGAGACTTCAATACTCTCTGGATATTTAGGGAATTGAACAATTGGAAGGTGAAGACTTGGGATTTCTCCTCTTCTGTGAAATTCATTTCCCAGATTGAACTACCAATCCCCATATTGCCTTTCTTTATCTGGCAAGCAAGCAAAGTAGAATGTGCATTCTAGGGTCTACTCTGTGCTCTGTTTGTGATTTATTCTGCAGTTGCTCTAAGCAAATGTTTTTAGAAAAATCTTATTATTATTATTATTATTAAAAATCAATCAATCCACAATGCCCTATTGATTTAACTTTTACATTTTGAGTATATTATTGAAATGCAGCCTGAAGAGTTTACACTATTTGACTCCATCAGGCTTCTATTTCCATTGTGTTTTCTCCTCCGTGTCTTAAGGTTACTTAAGCTAAAATTGTCTGTAATTAAAACTACTCTTATTATTTCATATATATTATAAATTCTTTTACTATAACTCTTCTGCCTGAGTTACGCTGAGCAAAAAAATCTCCTCCATTCAGCAGCCTCTCCCTTGCAGGCTATAAATCTCTACAACATGAGCAGGTCCATAGAAAGAAAGTTATAATTCTTGTTTGAAGCTTCTAAAGTATTTGTCATCAAATCTAAAGGAGCCCTGTGAGATTTAGGTGAGAAATCTCTGAAGTACGTGGCAGGCAAGTACAACTTTTAACGACGGAGGATCTTACCTTGAAGCAATTCATTCTTCTCCCAGATCCCTTGATGCCTAGCAATCTTTGCTTTAAATGTTTTTTCCATTCCCCAGCTCAGTTCACAGCATCTTATTTTCTGAAACCGCCAAGCACGTTCCAAACAGTAAAGCAGTTTACCTTGGTTTTTGCTGAAGCCAGGAGACATCTTGATATGACCAGATGTTTCTGAAAATTGAACTCAGATTCTGTAGGTCAATTGTTTATGCTCATTTTAGCAGATTTTTATTAGTATCATTAATATCATTTTGACATACATGTTGTTTTTGTTCAGTCCAGTGATGAAATCTGAACTGGTTTGCTACCAGTTCACTGGCTGTACATGCGCACTGCACACCAAATGCATGCTGCAAGCACATGCGCAGTGTGCACCAAAAGGAGGCTTCGGAAGGTAAATAGAACAACAAGGGGGAATCAGCTGGGCCGCATGATTTAGCTTTGCTAGAAAGCAGGATTTCCTGCTTTCTAGCAAAGCTAAACCCCGCGGCACAGCTAATCATCAGAAATACCAGTTCAGAGGAACTGGTAGCTTTTTTTAACTAGCTAACTACCAGTTCACCCAAGTTTTTTAAACTAGTTTTTATTGCCTGAACCGGAGCGAACCAGGAGCATTTCACCCCTGGTTCAGTCTCTAAATCATGCCTGACTCTTTGTGACTCCATGGACCACAGCATGCCAGTGCCCCCTCTCCCACTCCACTGTCTGCTGGAGTCTGCCCTCATCCATGCCCACTGTGTCAATGATACAATCTAACCATTGGCACACATGTTGCTAATAACAAATTCAGTTTAGAAATTATTGTAGGATTATAAAACTTCAAATTAATCTTAGAGTTCCCAAAGGGATATCATAATGTTCAATTACAATATTGAGCACTATGGTTCTGTCTTCTGAACCTACTGAACTTTTATATCATAGTCCTAAAAACCTCTTTGCATGCAGATAAGATTCTGTTAGTAACATAGAACTAAAAAGTTGTTTAGGGCATCACATTTAACAACCTTGCTCTGTATAGGAATCCAGATTTCCAATGGATATCTATTCACATTGATCAAAGAATAAACAACTTCTCTAGATAATTGGCTCCACTTCTAAACTCCTTTTAATGTATGGTCATTGTTTTCTGAGATGCCAGAGAAACTCAAATAGATTCGTTGACATTTCTTAAAGTATTTGAAAAATGCTAGCATGTTCTCCCTAATACCAACTTTTCTCAAGACTAAATATATCTACCCCCTCAACCTATTCTTATAGAATTTAGTTTTCATTTTCACTCATCTGATAAACTTTGTTATGCTACTTTGGATCTGATTTAGCAAGTCTAGCTGACCTGTGCTATTCTGAATTTAAGAGGAATCTTATTAATGTAGAACAGAGTAGAAATGTTGTGTTTAATAATTTGGGAATTGTACCGTATTTTCCGGCGTATAAGACGACTTTTTAACACATGAAAATCTTCTCAAAAATCAGGAGTCGTCTTATACACTGGGTGTCGTTCTCCTGTAACCAGGCAGACCAGCCCAAAAGGCTCTGACGAGCCTTAAATGGCTCTGACGATCCAAGCTCTGACGATCTGCTAATCAGGCAACTCAGTTGGGATCACCAGAGCCATGGAGAAAGAAAAACTTTTCTCCTTTCACATGGCTCTGACGATCCAAGCCCTGATGATCTGCTAATCAGGCAACTCAGCTGGGATCGCCAGAGCCATGGAGAAGGAAAAAACTTTTCTTCTTTCACATGGCTCTGACGATCCAAGCTCTGATGATCTGCTAATCAGGCAACTTAGCTGAGATCGCCAGAGCCATGGAGAAAGAAAAAACTTTTCTCCTTTCACATGGCTCTGACGATCCAAGCCCTGACGATCTGCTAAGCAGGCAACTCGGTTGGGATCGCCAGAGCCATGGAGAAGAAAAAAACTTTTCTTCTTTCACATGGCTCTGACGATCCAAGCCCTGACGATCTGCTAAGCAGGCAACTCAGTTGGGATCGCCAGAGCCATGGAGAAGGAAAAAACTTTTCTCCTTTCACACGGCTCTGACGATCCAAGCCCTGACGATCTGCTAAGCAGGCAACTCGGTTGGGATCGCCAGAGCCATGGAGAAGGAAAAAACTTTTCTCCTTTCACATGGCTCTGACGATCCAAGCCCTGATGATCTGCTAATCAGGCAACTCAGCTGGGATCGCCAGAGCCATGGAGAAGGAAAAAACTTTTCCCCCTCCAGCTTGCTTACCTTAGCTGCTTGCCTTACTTCACTTGCCTTGCTTCACTTGCCTGAATCCATTCCGTCAGCAAGCAACTCCCTGCCTGCAATCAAGCAGGCAGGGAGTTGTGGACTTTAACTCCCAGAATTCCTCAGCTAGCAAAACAAAGCTGGCTGAGGAATTCTGGGAGTTGAAGTCTACAAGTCTTAAAGTTGCCAAGGTTGGAGACCCCTGTTCTATTGGGTAAGTTTTTTTCCCCTTTGGGATCTTAAAAAAAAAAAGTTAATTGGGGTTTTTTTTTAGTTGTTCTTTTTTTAGACCTAGCCATTTAAAGTTTAGGAAGTTTTAAATTTAGCTTTCATATAAAAATAAAAATAAAATAAAATAAAATAATATTTGTGCAGCTTTCTGAGATTTAGTATGTTTTTGTAGTGTTTCACTCTAACTACACAAACACAAAAAATCTCACAAAGCTGTATGTGGAATTTTGTGTTTGTAAAGTGTGAAAGTTGGGTTTTTGGGCTTTTTGTGGCTGTGTGAGGTTCCTGCTTGTTTCAGGGGCCATTTTGGGTCTAGCACAGCTGCTTTTACATTGTGGGTGTATTTTTATTTGGTGTGCGTTGGAAGAGGGGTAGTCTTATATGGCGAGTATAGCCCAAACCCTATATTTTAACAGGAAAATTCGGGGGTCGTCTTATACGCCCAGTTGTCTTATATGCCAGAAAATACGGTACTTCTATTAATTTAGCCTATAATTCTACTTGCCTTTTTGTGCAGGCATATCACACTGCTGGTTCATATTCAATATCTGATTAATTACAAATCAAGATTATTTTAACAACTACTATTGCCAAGTGTCTAAATTTCATTTTGTTATTTTCTATCTACTCCACTAAACTATCAAGATCATTTTTTCCTTTAGCAAAAAATGTTTGTAAAATTGGTGCAACTTACTTAACAATCACATTGCTTAGCAACAGAGGTTCTGATTCCAATTTGGTCATACATCAAGGAATACCTTTATATTACTTTGCTTTCTTTTCTTTTTATTCTTTTTTTACTTTTTTTTTTCTTATATTTAGTTTCTTTTTTCTTTTTTAATTTTTTTTATTAAAAAGTTTTACAAAGAAAAATTTTTCCCCCTTTTTCCCCCCCCCCTTTCCCCCCCCATCCACCCCCACATCCCTTCCCCCACATCCCTTCCCCCACATCCCTTCCCCCCTTCCCATCCCACCCTCCCCCCCAGACTTCCCCGAGCAAAATACAAGGTATTTCAATTAACAATCATAATCTAAATTAACCTAACTATTTTTAAACTACCAAATCCCCCCCTGAAACCTTAACTCCACTATAGATAACATAATACTTCTAAAGTTTAACATTCATTCATAAGCTATTTGATATTTTCTTGTCTGATACTTATTTTGAATATAATAAATCCATCTTCTCCATTCCGATATGTATCTTTCTTGTGTATAGTCCTCCAAATATGCTGAAATTTTTGCCATTTCCGCTAGATTCGCTACTTTCAATGTCCATTACATTACTTTGCTTTCTTAACTGAATGTTATAATATGTCCGTGTTAAAGCCATTTTTCCTGCCCCCAAGTCATTGCATCATAAATCCATAGATACAGTAGTAGCTCTCTCATTCATCACACTGAAGCTCAGTATGAGTCAACCCCCACAGCATTTCTTTCTCGTGAAAGAATAATTCTACCATCCACAGGCAAATAATTCTACCATCCACAGGCTTTTTTTTTTTTAGTATCTGCAGACTGGATTTATGCAATTGCTCCAAATAATGGATTAGTGAGATACTTTACTGTATGTGAACATTAATTGGTGGCATTTTAACAGAGTATATTTTCCAGAAATTCATTAATTACTCTTCTGCAATTATCTACTAATAGGTCTTCTATAATTACCTACTCCTATATTGTTTGTAAGGGACACAGTGGCTCAGTGGCTAAGACACTGAGCTTGTCAATCGAAAGTTCGGCAGTTCAGTGGTTCGAATCCCTAGTGCCACGTAATGGGGTGAGCTCCCGTTACATGTCCCAGCTTCTGCCAACCTAGCAGTTCAAAGGCACATAAAAAATGCAAGTAGAAAAATAGGGACCACCTTTGGTGGGAAAGTAACAGTGCTCCGTGCACCTTTGGCATTGAGTCATGCCGGCCACATGATCACCGAGATGTCTTCGGACAGCACTGGCTCTTTGGCTTTGAAACGAAGATGAGCACTGCCCCCTAGAGTCGGGAATGACTAGCACATATGTGCAAGGGGAACCTTTACCTTTTAAAATCATTTGTAATAGAGAGCCAGTTTGGTGTAATGGTTAAGACATCAGGCTAGAAACAGGGAAACGATGAATCCTGCTTTGGATACAAAGCCAAGTGGGTGACCTTGGGCCAGTCACTTTCTTTCAGCCCTAGAAAGTAAGCAATGGCAAGCCACTTTCAAAATCTTGCTAAGAAAACTGCAAGAATTTGTCCCCCTAAAAAGAAAAAAAAAACAGGATCGTGATGGGGTAGGAGGCTAGCCTGAGTGCTTCTCCAAATTGCCTATCTCCCAACTGTAGCGTGATTATAGGGAGCAATCAAGTTGTGGGGAGGAAAGCATGATTAGAATTTATACCCATGTTGGGTGAGCAGGAAGAGTGGAATGGGCAGGTGATAAACATACCTGCTCTTTCCTGGTGGTATTGAATCAAGGCAGACATAGGGTGTGGGGGTGGGTGGGAGAGAAGGGATAATTAGATAAGTCATAACCAGAGGTGAACATGGGTTTGTCAAAAACACATCATGCCAGGCAAATCTTACTGCATTCTTTGACAATGTGACAAAATTAGCAGTGGATATAATATACATGGACTTCAGTAAAACATTTGATAAAGTAAGCCAAAAATTAATTAGCTGGGTCAGCCCAAATCATTAGGCAGAGTGAGACAATGCCTTCATATGGAAAATTGTGACTAGTAGCAAAGAACTGAACTCTATCTGAACTGAACTATCTTGACTATCCTCTATCTTCTATCCTCAGGAGAACGGTGATCGTTCT